ATTTTCATGTACCTGGGGAATTTCCATGTTAATTCCTTGTTGGTCCCCGGAATGAAGAACAAATGTGTTACAATAAATGGCTTCGTGGTTTGCAGACAGTAAACCCTTCATGTATATTTTATTTTGGCTTATAAAGCTGATGTATATTTTGTGTAATGCCTTATTTTATCCTATTTGGCTGATGGTGAGAGTATCTTTATCCTAATTTGATGAATTGTTACACAGGGGTAGGGTAAGTGACACAGTCCCAACCATCCAACCAAACTACTTATACTAATTTCCATAATTTCACAACAAATATGACAGTTGCCATCTATACAGGTAGTTAAATACTATTACTGCATCTAGTTGTTTCACCTGTAAATAACTATTTTTCCTGAGGAAAGGCACCATAGCTTTTATTTCTTACATCTCTGTTATTTATACCCAGATTTTAATGAGAACATGATAAATCATTAATCACTTCCCAGTGATCATCTGATTCAACTGCATGTAAGAAATGTTGCTGTAGAAACAACTCTGTGTGTGTGTGTGTGTGTGTGTGTGTGTGTGTGTGCTGGGGGTGGTTCTCAGGGAGTAAAATATTAGGTCTAATTAAAAATTGCTGCACATCATTTATCAAAAGAATGTGTTTTAGATATGAAAGTGAGCCTCCTCATTCCAAAAAGGCATAGATCAACATAGCTGAATGGTGACTTAGAGAATTTTGCAGGCTGTCATCATGGCACAGAGGTTAAGATATTGCCTCCGATAGCAGCATCACTTATCAGAGCACTGGGTTGAGTCCTGGAGGTTCCACTTCTGATTCAGATCCTTGATAATGTGTCTGGGAAAGTAGCAAAAGATGTCCCAAACCCCTGGGTTCCTGCCATCCATGTTGGAACTGCAGATGGAGTTCCTGGCTCTTGGCCTCAGCCTGGCACAGCCCTGGTCATTGGGGCCACTTGAGGAATGAACCAAAAAAAAAGGAAGATCTCTCCCTCTGCCTCTGTCTGTCTTTCTTTCCCTCTCACTCTGTAACTTTGCCTTATAAATAAATAAATATTTAAAATACATATTTTGAAGGCATGAATTGAAATTATACTTACGATGAATGTTTGTTATACACACATACACAGAGATGCATGGACATTCAAACCATTACTGTCTTTATGAACACTCAAATCACATCTCCTTCTCATGTACAAATGTCCTGCTTTAAAATCTGACATAAAAATCACTGAGAAACAATAATTCCCAAAATTCCTTTGTAGGTAGATAAAGCTAAGATTAATTTTCTAGCCAATGTGATAAAAATAGTTGCATTATATGCTTCCCAGATGTGTCCTGAAAAGGAGGTATCTTCTACCTCTTTTTACTTCCTACTGTTTGAATGAAGTTCTAATGACTCAAAGGTAGTACTGCTTTGGACTGACATGTGAATTTTGCTTCTTAAGTTTAGAAACAGTACAGGCACATGAGTCTCTGAATCCAGGAATATATGACCATTCATGGACAACATTTTATTAAGACATACATAAATGCCTATATATTTAAGTCATTGCCATTTTAACTTTTGCATTAGCTGTAACCACACTTCAAATAATGGAATAATTGACTTTAAATCAAAATGAAATTGAAAATAGAGATGTATAGGTTAGTATAGCTCCATCTCAGATACAGAAGTTGGAAGCTGTCTTCAGCATTCTTACAATAAGAAAAATGTATGACAATTGAAGTTACAAAGCAAATTATCCCCAAAATCTGGATAAAGAGGGACCTACAGGGAGACCGAAGATCCTAACACATGCTTACCTGAAGCAGATGCTTTGGTGGCATTAAAGTAGAAATTTTCATGAATTTCAGATGGCCAAATGTTAAGTAGCATCAGAACGAGGAGTTTCTGCGGCCTTCACGCATAAGAATCGTTTTGTCCCCAAAACCCCACAAGGTTGTCACAGGGTAGACTCATAGAGTACGCTTAGGGAACTGGCAAAGGGAGGAGGACGAAGAGCCACAGAGAAATCCACTAAAATGCTTCTCCTCTATGCTTAGCCTCCAGGAAGGACAAAACCAGAGGACAACAATACAGTCCCAGCCCAGCTGGTGTTAGGGAACTCTGTGCCTTTACATCCTGCACCTAAGAAAACAGTTCCACAACATGCAGGGGTTAAATCATCAAAGATGCAGCCTGGAAAGACTGGAAAACTTCCACTGAAACCAGGAAATGGATTAGAAGCAGAAGGAAGAAAGCTCTATTTCAAGTGTAGGGTCAGAAATACTTGTTAAGACCACACCCATGAGACACAGGCTTACTCTGCCTTCCAAAGACTGATAGTAAATCAGAAGGTTAAAACCTGTACTACTCCAACACACACACACACACACACACACACACACACACACACACACTCTCTACCACCACCACCACTACAGTGTCAATAAGCCTCCAGGAAAAATGGCAGTAGATTATAGCTGAAAGAGTTCAGGGAGACAGATTCTCCCTAAGGATCAGCACAGGGAAAACCCAAAGAAGAAATGGAGACAAAATGGGATCACTGAAGGAACAAGAATCTTCTGACATCAACACCTACAACAAACATGAAACACAGCCAAATGTACATCAAAATGCGATCAGTCCTCACAAGAAAGCTGTGCTTACCTCAATATCCATTGCCTTAGATGACAAGTCCAGCTATCATCAAAAAACTACAACACAAATCAGAAACACAATTTGCAGACACAAATAAGACATCAAAACCAGACTCAGATATGACAGATAGGAAATGAAAATAACTGATTAAAATATTAAAAACTCTATAGAAAAGGTAGGTAACACATACAATCAAGTAATAATATAAACACAGATGATGAATTATAAGAAGAAAAAAAGAAATGCAAGAATTGTAAGAATACTCAATACAGCTAAAGGAAGAATCAATGAACTTGAAAATGGGTCAACAGAAATCTCTCAGACTATATATAGTGCAAAGAGAATAAAGATAAAAAAAACAAAATATAAAAGCACAATGAAAAAAGTGTGAAGAAATTTCAAATGGTATAACATATGCATAAGTGAGATGACAGAAGAAGAATGGGACCAAAGAATAGAAAAACAGAATAAACAATGTCAGAAAAACAGCTTTCTAACATTAGCAAGGAGAAAAAAGATATCAAGAAACTCAGAGAACACCAAGTAGGATAAATAACAAACAGACTTACTACTTTTGCCACTTTTTCATTACTACAGAAAATACCTGAAGCAATTAGCATTGTAAAGATGAAAACGTTTATTAAGCTCATCATATTGGAAATTCAAATCCAAGATTGGGCATTCCCATTGATTTGATTTCTGGTAAAGACAATGGATGACAATGGTGGAACAAATACAGAAAAGGGATCTGTGGCTAACCAGGAAGAAATGAGTGAGCCTGGGGTCCAACCTGTGTTTTTACAGCAATCCTCTCCCAGGAACATTTTCCTGGGAAACACAAGCATTTTTCATGAGGTCCACCTCTCCTTTAAAAAAAATACTCCCCAACTTATCCTTCCTTCTACCAACTCCCTTATTCTCATTCCTCCTTCCTTTCTTATTTTTTCTTTTAAGTTTTACAATGACATATTTTCAACTTGTTTTATAATCACAAGCTTCACCCTCCACCAAGTAAAAAATTCAGCACGTAGTAAGTAGAAAAGCCTTTGTTCCTCCACAGTGTAGATACGATCTACTTCTTACATACCATAGCCTGGCTATGTTTCCATTGTCTTAGAATTCTTAACCTGTGACTCTGGGATGTAAACAACTGCCCAAATTTGGGGACTAAATCATATTCAAACAACAGCATTCACATACATACACACACACAGAGTCACACTCAACCTGTAGGAAACCAAAGATGAAGAGTAACCAGAGGGGCAGAAAATCTTACCTACAAATGTTCAAGTTTAAGAATTATAAAAGAAAACAAAGAGTGTGATTTAAAGTGAAAGTGAATGGTTAGTTTATTCCTAAATAGTTAAATAATTATAACAGGCACTATTAGCAACAAAATAAGAGATAATTCATCACCATTTTATCATAAAATATGATTGATACATTTAATTGAGCAGCAGGACTCAGGCACTGAATTTCAAGTGAAAAATACCAGATTTCTTCTCTCTGCAGAATAAAATATTCATTTACTTTAGTGTTTCATTGAACCCCTATCTATTATGGCATTGTCTACTTGCTTTGTTCAACTGTCATATTGTTCCTGAATCACAGCAGCCATTACACAGTTGAAGCTCCAAAAGGAACCTCTATTGCAGTATAGCACGTTGCATAGCCTGATTTTAGGAGGTCTTTCTAAATCACTAGCAATATAATATACTTCCTCCCCTCTAAAATTGCATGGGACAGGGTTGTGATGAAATGTGTTATCAACAAGCAAGACAAAACTCAATTTCCATTCTTTCTAACTACATTTGTCAGTCCAAAATGTCAGCCAGAATGTAGCAATATCTTACTATTAATTGAGATAGTTTCAGGTTTTTGTGACCTCATCACTTATACACAGCAGCTTCGTCTCTATTCTGTGATTTAAAAATCTTAGCTTTTTTTTTTTATTGGAAAGGCGGATATACAGAGAGGAGAGACAGAGAGGAAGATCTTCCGTCCGATGATTCACTCCCCAAGTGAGCGCAACGGGCCGATACTATGCCAATCCGAAGCCAGGAGCCTCCTCCGGGTCTCCCACGTGGGTGCAGGGTCCCAAAGCTTTGGGCCGTCCTCGACTGCTTTCCCAGGCCACAGGCAGGGAGCTGGAAGGGAAGCAGGGCTGCCGGGATTAGAACCGGCGCCCATATGGGATCCCGGGCGTGCAAGGCGAGGACCTTTAACCACTTGTGCCACCGCGCCGGGCCCTAAAAATCTTAGCTTTTTGAGAGCTTTCTCACAATTGTCTATACAGAGAGAGCCATATCTTTGTACTTGTGTAATATTTTTCCTACAGAAAATGTGTCAGTCATAAATTGTTTACCTACCATTTGAGGTGTCAATGAGTTCAAGGAAAGCTGTATCTTCAGATCTCCTGCTTGAAAAGAAATTATTACCAATTTCAAGGATTGGAAAACAACTTCTTACATTAGGGAAAACATATGCTGTTTGTCTTTTTGGTGCTCACTTATCTCACTGAGCATAGTGGTTTCCAAATACATCCACTTAGTTGCAAAAAAAATAAGTTTTTCATTCCTTTTTATGGCTGAGTAGTATTCCATAGCATTTATGTATATTTTCTGTATCCAGTCATTCATTGATGGACTTCTGGGTTGATTCCATTTCTTAGCTGTTGTGAATTGAGCTGCTATAAACATGGGAGTATGAAAAAAAAAAAAGAAAAAAGAGAAAACAACTTCTTGGAATAGATCATGGAAAAAGGTATTTCTGAACAGTGGTTTATGTACCACTATGTACTGTTATGTACACAGTAAGCAATAAAGAATCCCTCTAGTAATTTGATTTTTGTGCTAGAAGTGAGCACTGCACTTTTCCCCAGACAGAATTTACTCACAGAGAATATTCACCAGTATTTTATACAAAGTTAGCTCACTTGACAGGCTCCGGAGAGACTTGGGACAGAGACTCCTGAATGTAATGGTGTAAAAAGCAGCATGCAACACAAACTTCTACCTTTATCTAAGCACTCTGTTTTTCGAAAGAAATTCAAAACCAAGGGAGTGAAAAAACTTGATTCTACAAAATAATGTAAAAGACCAAAAGAAAGGGTTTTAAAGATGGTAGGCAACACAGAGTGTGCCTACTTTGTTGTACACATGATATATATACTTTCTTACTCTCCTAGCTTTGGCTACCAGCTGTAGGTCAGGAAAATCTTTCTTCTGCCCATGATGGGCAAAGCCTCATCTTAAAAATGAAGGGTTTCATGACCCAAGTGTTGCAAATAAATATTTACAAGAGCATTAAAGATTGAATATAAAGCTCTAAAGTTTTGAGTATCAAGAAACAGTGTAGGTTTTTTAACCTCTTTAATTTGGTCTCTATATTTTACTCTGTTTAGCTAATGGTTTTTGTAGATTTGATTATTTACTAGTTTCCTTCGTACTTATTTAAACTGAAGCAAGAATACACAAAATATTAATTTATGTCCTTTTCTTTCAAAACATTAGTATTATTTCCTAATGGTTGCATTTAATCTCAACATTACTGATTAATATCAATGAGAATTAATATTAACTGTTTAAAAAGATTTATTTTATTTATTTGAAAGCAGAGTAAACACACACACACACACACACACACACACACACACACATACACAGAGGGAGAGGAGGCAAAGAGATCTTCCATTCACTGGTTAACTCCCTAAATAGCCACAATGGCCAGGGCTGTACCAGACCACAGCCAGGAGCCAGGAGCTTCTTCCAGGTCCCCCACATGGGTACAGGGGCCCAAACAGTTGGGCTATATTACATTTATTTTCAAGGCGCATTAGCAGGGAGCTTGATGGGAAGTGGAGTATCTGGATCCAAACTGGCACCATATGAGATGCTGGCATTGCATTAAGCAGCTTAATCCATTACACCAAAACACTGACCCCATAGAATTAATGTTAATCTATAACAGGGCTTATACATTTTTCCCATGCATTTTATCAGCAAGTCCTCCTATGACATGAAATCCTATAAAATTATAATTAAAATATGGATTCAAAGTTCAATTTTAAAAATGTGAAGGATTTGAACAATATCTCTGAGAGCAAATTCCATAGTCTTCTCTATCTAGTGATCAGTTCATAGGGGCTGCCTGGAAAAATGCAGTGAATAGCAAGACAAAATCATGTCCAGACCACAGGAGGATAGAAAAGCAGTGATGTTACTGTAGGGCCAAGAAATGACACACAACATATATATCCAGGCTCTGTTTCCTATGATCTCTAAGGCCAGGTGTCACAGAAAAAAATTAAGTGATGAGAATGGATATCAGCCATTATTGCTTATTATGGTTCTTACTGTTTAAGACATGTGCAGACTCTAAGCCAACAGCCAATAGCAACATTCCAAATTACATTCTAGGTTGTCTGTTAAAAATTTTAAGATGATTTGCTAGTTTGGCAAAAACTCATCTTTAAAAGTACAGCATTTCCTTTTTAAAAAAAGTTCTGAATCATTTTTGGTCTTCCTACATGGTAAACTCTGATTTGAAGTTGCCTATCTCTTAATTTTGGGAAGAATCCTTTGATTGAGGTTGTCACTTTTATGCAAGTATACAACAAGATGCAGAGATGGAAAGAGTGAAGGTACTAACAGCTAAGCTATTTGCATGGTGTTTACTGCATAGGTAGGTTGCACCTTGAAAGCTAATACTATTTGTATAAGAAGGTCCTGTTTTGTTCTCTTGAGGAATCTCAGAGTTGTGATAATTTATTTACATCTCACATGTGAGAAGCCTGCTGGATAACAGAGAAAAGGAAGGAAAGTCAACTCTCCCTGCAGGATGGCAGTGGCTAGGACTAATAAAGCAAAAAGGAAATTCCTAGGGATGAATTTGGTCTGTGTACCAGGTGAGAAGTAGTAAATGATATCTAGTGTCCATGTTATATTATGTCATCATTATCATTACTTCCTGCATTAGAACTCCATTTTATTATCTTCAATCTTTCAGTAAATTTTTCTTAAACAATACAGCTTATTCAGAACTGTTATGCTCTGGGGCATTAAAAGCCAGATCTGTGCATTCATTTGGAGAAAATAGGAAATGAGAGGAAGAACAACAGGATAAGGAAGGGTAGTTCTGGATAAGAAAGAAGATATCCAGTTAAGAGGAGTCACAGTTAGGTGTCCAGTCCAAGGGGATCAGAGACAACCAAATAGGTTGTGGACCTGAGAACTAAAAAAGAGTGGGCTTGCTGACAGCAGACATAGAAAATTACACTATTAATTAGACACCAGATTCCATAAGACTGAAGATGCTCAATAAGCTGTGTGTGTACAAGAACTGGAATGTAGTGGATCTTCAAAGAAACTCTGAGAACAATTGAGTGAACTCAGCAAATGAGTGAAATGAATGTTGCTTCTTCTACTGTTTGATTCCTTCCCCTGACTAACTCCTACTCATCCTTTAAAGCGTGGTTCAAATAGCATGGCCTGAATTACGAGTGTTTCCTGACATCCTCAGGATGAATGAGTCACATCCTCCCCTGAGGTCTGCAGCAGCCTGCACATGTCTTCGTGTGATCACATTGCATAGTGGTCATGTTTATGTGTCTGTTCAGTCTCTGGACTGGGAACTGCTCTGGGTTGGTGCCTGTGTACTGCTCAGCTGCATTTTCAGGACCTATCACACAATGTTTGTTCAATAAGTGTTCACCCAAGAAAGAAAAGACAGCTCCTGTCTTCTAACAGGATTGTTCATCGATGGCAAGATTAACTGTTTTCTGTCTACTCATTTTCCTAAAACATCATGCCCAAGGGAATGTGTTCTGGCTCCCAAGCCTTATTCTGTTCACTGATAGTTCAGAGGAAGAGCAAGCTGGATTCCCACAGACTATCTTTCCAAAGGCTTAAAGATGGTCATAAATTCCTACCAATCTTGTAAGTGGAAAATAGCCACTTTTTCTTTTTGGCCATATTTATTCCACTCACTGTTGTCACACATGCAAGCAGAAGTACTGAGGGGGAAGAGAGATAAGCTGACCTGAAATGAACCTGTCTGGACTCTGAAAACCTCTTCTTCACCTTTATTCACTCACACTGAATTCAGGCAGGCTTCTTCTTTCTGTATGTCTGAGTTTAATATCAAATGAGGGCAATCATACACTACAAAATCTATATTCAAACTGTTTTGTGAGAGGTCAGTAAAAATCCCCATTTTTGGAAATTAGTAAATGCTCAATAAACATTTACCAAAGTCACCCACATCATATATGTGTATATACATGTATACATGTGTATATATATATCCACATGTAGTGGATGTGGTACACAGACATGCACGTATTTACACATTATGTAAATACGAATACATATAGGGAACTTTTTATGTAAGAAATACACATACTTGTGTGTCTCTATGTAAATACACACACTGAATTATTTTAATAAAGAAATTTTTCACTTAAGTTATTATAGAATTATAATAACCACACACAAAATAACTATTCAACTTTTAAATTTCTTTTCAACTTACAAACACAAAAGTTGAAACTGTTGTGGAGTGCAAGAGAGATCACTTGGGACCCAGGCATAGGATGTTAACCAGAGTCGTTATTGTCCAAGCCTCATGACAGCAGCTCTCCCTATGCTCCAGGAGCCACTGTGCTGAGCCACCCAACTCAACAGCTCTTAAGCTATCATCCTCCAATTACCTTGGGAGCTATTTAGTACAAAGTTAGCATTCCGTTTATTAAGTGGCAGAAGGGAGCTGCCAAAGCCCAACGTTTTCTTGTAGTTAATTAACCTGAATAGCACAACAGGAAGAACTAGGGGCCAGGTGCTGGGAGTCTCCGCATCCGTTTCTTCAGCGTCAATTAACGTGAATGACACAGAGATCAGGAGGGGAGGAGCACAGAAACTTCCTTTCCAGATGAGTTTCCACGTTGTCAATTACTCGATAAGTGGGTGCCAGCCATCAGCAGGCTGCACCCCATCACAAAACTTGCTTTACTATTTCATTTGAAGCTGTTATTAATAAATCACTTCTTGAGCACATACTTCATTTGAAGAACCAGGAATGCAGCAATGTAGAAGACAAATGACATCACTTCCCTCAGGGAATGTAGAATCTACACACAACATTCATGGTCTCACATTGAGCCAGATGAAGTGTCAATGTTAAAAACAGCCGAGTCTGGTCTTATTTAACATTCTCCCAAATAATAAATTAATTAAAAACAACATTTTAAACTTACATGTTAACACAAGGAAAATGGAAAAGAAAAAAAGAAAAACCATTCTGTGATCTTTATTCAGTACCTTCATTTTGGCTATAAAGGATTTCAGTTTCTTGGTGGGCAATTCCTTTGTTTTTTATACTGTAACTCTGTATGTAATAAAAGTTACTAACAATAACAGT